TATACTGATTGGTATCAGTTGGGTCTGTACTTAGGACTATATGAGCCTACACTGAAAGCAATTGAAGAAGAAAGTAGAGGAAAGTTAAAGAAGTGTCTAATGGAGTGTCTATCTTCCTGGCTAAAGGGAGAGGATGGAGTAAGAGAGACAAGAGGAGGTGGATCAAACTGGATATCATTAGTAGCAGCACTAGAGGCAATGGGAGAGAGGGAGGTTGCTGATATCATTAGAAAAAAATATCTGGAGCCCCTTAATGAGCATCCATATTAATAAAGTTATCTTATTATATTTTTACTGGGTATATAGTTAAAATTAATTTTTACAAAAATATTATTTTTTATTATTAATTTTAAAATAATAATGAAAGAAGGAGGTAATAATAATAATTGATAGAGAGAGATGATGATAGTTAAAGAATAGCACAAGGACTGATCCTTTTCATTTCTGTAATGCAATACTGGACAGGTTTATCAAGAACAAACCTTTTGCTACTTCTTAACTTATTGCAGTGATAATAATAATTCATATTTGCCAATGTGTACATAAAATTAATGCTTAGCTATTTGCTAAACTGCTATTATTAAAATTGTTTTTTTAAGTTGTAAAAATTCTCTGAGAGAAATAAGCAGCTTTTCTTTGCTGTACTCTGTCCCCCAGTGACATCATTAGACTCATAAACTCCAAGAGATCAAAGGAATAGTTTGTGAATTTAGCATGAGGTGTACCCATTTGAGGATGAAGACCCTGTATAGGAAATAAAGGGAATATTAAAGGTACATAATTATTACTTATTTCTGTATAAAATACATGAAATATTATCTTAATAATTATATGCAATTATTCCTTAGGATATTGTCATTATGAGTTATGATGTATAAAAATTAAAAAATAATAGAAAGTTTGAGTTGATTCTTAGACCACATTTTTTCATATTCTCAATTTATATTATACATATTTTGACAGACACTTAGGTATGCTCTTACTTCTCTCTCTTTCCAAACTTTAGTGCTGTCCTGCCAAGTTAAGTATTCTACACCTCTGAGAGATAGGGAGAGAAGTAGAGTAATATATGACTTGACTTTTATTATCTTACCTTAATCTTGCTAGATCTTTATAACATCTTTCATCTTCAGTATTATAGCTATAAAAGAGAGAGAGATGTACATGTACAATAAGTTTATGTACTATTTTACATTTCAAATATAGCTCCCCAGTCTGGGAGAAAAAGTAAGTGAGTTAGACCAGAGCCGTGCATCCCAATAAATATATCAGTGTTGTGAGAAGACTGCAGTATAGAGATAGGAATAAAATTAAAATATTTCATTTTCAAAAATATTAACTGTACTTCGATCTGTTCAAGAAAGGGGAAATCCCTACAATTAAAGACAACAATGATCATATGCTATTATAATGTATTATAATCGTGTCGTAATTGTATTCATTATTATTATGTGCGGCTATTGTTATTAATATAGGAAGTTTTGACTGGAGGCTGACTATGAGATAATGATGACAGTTGGTGTATATAATGATTAATGTTATCAAGGTACAAGTGAGATGCCAAATGAAAAGGATAAGATTACAAGATTATAGTTATGGCCAATTTTCAATAGTAGTATACTAGCGTTACTAGTAAATTATTAGTAAATTATAGTAAATTATTGTTGCACCTGTATTTGTAGTCAACCACTCTAAGGCGGAAGTATCCAACTGTTTTCATTGCCTTTATCAACTAAAATGATGTACTTATTATGAAATATTAATTATTATAATTATGTATAGTTACTTCATCTTCATTTACTATTCGTCTGTGTTTGGTTGTTCTTGATAAAAGAGTCACCCTAACTATTGACTCCTAATTATTAAATATAAATAAATAAGTTCATATTTACTTATTTTTATTGTTTATTCTTGTTTACTTTTACCTCTGGTATTTCTTGTGTTATGTTTAGTCTCTTAATTAAATGTTTTGAGAAAGCTTGCATGAGACCTGACCTATAGCATCCAGGAACCTACAGTAATACCATAATACATGATAATACATTTTGGCATTTTCTTAAAATGGCTGTAACTTGAAAAATTGAAGTCAAAATCAGCTCAAACTTTCTACATAGCATAAGTACGTCAATATGTATCAGAAATTGTAATAAAAATCGGGGGTGATTTTGGAGCCATTTTTTGGAAAAAACCATGGGCTATAGCCTTGGATATTTTTCAGATTTTGGCTCATTTTTTAAAATGGCCATAACTAGAAAAATTGAAGTCAGAATCAGCTCAAACTTTCTACGTAGCATAAGGACATCAATTTGTATCAGAAAATGTAATAAAAATTGGGGGTAATTTCATGGGTAATTTTGGAGCCATTTTTTGGAAAAAACCATGGGTTATTAGTAACGCGGTAGCGTTACTAAGTAGGATTCACCCCCAAACAAAATGGCTGCCACAACTTTTGCAGCCTTGCTATACCGGGAAAACGAGCTCCTATGCTTACCAGACTGACTTCTTAGAGGACCTCATCTTGACCAGAGGACTCCATTGGTACCCATAGCGTGGCTCTAGGCCCTGTCTAAGAGAAAAGCCAAAAATCGGCGAACCGGCCGTTTTGTTCAGCCACCTTTTTTCATCTTCATCATCATCATCTTCATCATCAAGTCCTGTCAATCCAGTTGTCGGTGTGTATCTCAGTATCAGTTGGTGCTACAAGGATAATTCTTACACCAATCTACTCCAGCAGTATATGCGCAGGTCCATGTCCCATCAGATCATTCTTCAAGTAAGGAAAAAGTGGTACTGTGGCTGCTGGATCGAGCCATCTAGCTGCATGCAGCCATTTTGTTAATTAAAAAAAAGCATGCCATGTGCTCCAAAATTTGGGTGTGGTCGCGCATGCTCAGATCTGCAGCTCTGCATCTGGAAGAAGCAATTATTTACCAAGCTATGCTTGCTACTGCAATACTTTAGTGGAGGTTTCCAGCTAAAAGAAGGTATTAATCTTACATGTTACTGTTTTATCAAGTGTGTGATTTTATTTTATTTTAAAAA